AGAGAAGAAGATTTTCAAAGAAATAATGCATTTTCACTATATACTTATTTAGCCCCGCCCTAGTATAAGAACCCCTGACCCCAGGGCCATGAATTTCACAATTTTGGTAAAGGACTCAATGCTGATTACAATCATGCAAACAGTTTGACTGCTTGATGTCCAGGAGTAAAGAAGAAGATTTTTGAAGATTGCATTAATTTTAGTGGTTTTGGCCCCACCCCCCAGGCCCCAGGGGGGCAGGGATCATGAAATTCACAATTTTTGTTCCCCTTCACCCATAGATGCTTTGTGCCAAATTTGGTTGAAATTGGTTCAGTGGTTGCAGAGAAGAAGCTGAAAATGTTCAAAAGTTTACGACCGATTGACGACGAACGACGAACGACGTACGACGGACGACGACGGACAAAAACAGATAGCAATAGGTCACCTGAGTGACTCAGGTGACCTAAAAACGAAAAAGGTAATGACCTTGACCTGACCTTGCCTCTAATATAAAACAATCAAATCTATTCTAACTGATAGCATCACAAATACGTATTGTCCTCTTGATTCTGTGAACATTTCATTAATTTTTAAATACAAAAAATGTGAGAAGAATCCTACCTAACCCAACATAAAATATTTATTAATGTAAATAACCCCTTCCCCATCCCATCCCGACGCTTACAAACACACTTTGTCTCATTACTTCTCCTTAAATTGAAAACTTCCATAAAACTACAACGTAGTTTGATCGTTTTTTTTTTTTTTGTTTTATTGTGATGAGAAAGTCGGTGATGTTACATTGCACGACAAACTAAAATTTATAGGATAATTTCACGGCTGGTGTAAATAAATCCAAACACATCCTTAAAAAAATACTACAGTAAACTAAAGTTTACTTTAGTTAACTATAGTACCAAAGTAAACATTTAGAACTTAAATTTACCATTTATAGGGAAAATTTTGGAACTTTGATTTGCTATAGTAAAAACTTTGAAACTTTGATTTACTACAGTGAAAACTTTGGAATTCAATTAGGGTGGGGCTAAATAAGTATAAATTGAAATTTCATGAATTCTTTGAAAATCTTTTTCTCTGCTTCTGGGTATTAAAAAAACTAAGTAAGTACAGAGTTATGATGAGCAAGAGTGTCTCTACCAAAATTGTGAAATTTATGGCCCCAGAGTCAGGGGTTCTGGTGTAAGGGGGGCTATACTATAGATTGTATAGTGAAAATACATGAATTCTTTCAAAATCTTCTTCTCTGTTCCTGGGTATTAAATGAACTAACTAAGTGCATAGTTATGATGAGCAAGAGTGTCTCTACCAAAATTGTGAATTTTATGGCCCCAGGGTCAGGGGTTCTGGTGTAAGGGGGGGGGGGTCTATAGATTATATAGTGAAAATACATGAATTTTTTGAAAATCTTCCTCTCTGCTCTTGGATAATAAATAAACTAAATAAGTGCATAGTTATGATGAGCAAGAGTGCCTCTAAAAAACTTGTGAATTCTATGGCCCCAGGGTCAGGAGTTCTGGTGTAAGGGGGGCTATACTATAGATTATATAGTGAAAATACATAAATTCTTTGAAAATCTTTTTTCTCTGCTACTGGGTAATAAATAAACTAAAAAAGTGCATAGTTATGATGAGCAAGAGTGCCTCTAACAAAATTGTGAATTCTATGGCCCCAGGGTCAGGAGTTCTGGTGTAAGGGGGGCTATACTATAGATTATATAGTGAAAATACATAAATTCTTTTAAAATCTTTTTTCTCTGCTACTGGGTAATAAATAAACTAAAAAAGTGCATAGTTATGATGAACAAGAGTGCCTCTAACAAAATTGTGAATTCCATGGCCCCAGGGTCAGGGGTTCCAGTGATAGGGTGGGGCTCTATTGATTATACAGTGAAAATACACTAAATCTTTGAAAGTTTTCTTTTCTGCTCCTTGGTATTAAGCAGTTGAACTACCTATGTAGTTATGATGAGCAAGGGTCCTAAACTTCCAGAATTGTGAATTTCAAGGCCCCAGGGTCAGGGGTACCATAAAGGAAGGGGGGCTGTACTTATATACTGAAAGTGGATGAATTGTTTGAAATCTGCTCCTTGGTATTTATCAAATATTTTTGAAAAGCAAGGGTGCCTTTTCAAAAATTGTGCAATGTGTTGATCTAGGCCTAAGGGTCAGGGGTTCATGTGTGATTGGGGCATTACTGATCATGCTGAATATTACTGATTACTTGAAATGCATTTTTGTTCCCCTACCCTGCCTATGGGTATTAAGTAAACAAACTAAGCAACAGCGAAATGTATTGTTATGATGATCAATGGTGCCTATTTCAAAATTGTGAATGCAATAGCTTCTGGATTAAAACATGAATCAAATTCAATCACTGGAAAGTTGTTGCATAATGCTCAGGTGACCTATAAGGCCCATTGGCCTCTTTTTTAGGAACAGGACCATTTTTCTAAAAAAAATAATATACTAGAAATAAATACTAGTTCAGGCATTAATAGAAAGGGTCTTCCTTGTACCGAAAAAAAACTATCCATTCAAATCTATTTTATTTAATATTAGTCAGATGTAAACTTAGTCTTATATATCAAAAGAAAAATATATATCTCTGTCGAGATTGTAGCTCTACTCGTCTGTACTTACTAAAATGAAGGAAGAAAGAGAGCAATTGGGGCTCAAAACTTTATAAAGAAATCAATAGAATGACAGTCCTTAATTAAATCTATTTTTGTGGCAAGATTGCAATAAAACTACAACTGTAGTAATAGCGTTCAATAAAATTTTACAGAATTTTTAATTTTAGTTATCATGGCAACATCAATCAACAAATTCAAAAAACACGAAACTGATAATAGTGTTTGCCAGTGTAGTTTACTTGCATGCCAAATTATATCATAAACTGACTAAAGCTGTAGGAGGAGGAGCATTTTGAATGAATTTCACAGAAATTTCTATTTTAGTAACCAAAGCAACACCTTTGATCGAAATCAAAAACCTATATCTTTAAGTGTAGTCTACATGTGAGCTAAGTTATTTTGAAATCAGACAAAAAAAGTTGGATAAGTAGCATTTTATTACATTATTTATATCTTTAGTAACTAAGGCACAAATCAAAAACCGATGCAGAAATTAAATATCTATAGTAGTCTTCTGTGTGCCAAGTTATATTTAAATCAGACCAAAACTGCAGGAGGAGTTGCATTTTGAAAAAAAAAATTGTTTACAGACAGAAGGACAGACGGACAGGCAAATATACTACAAAATGAAGTATGCATCAATTAGAATTTTAAAAACATCAGCTTCATCTACTTCATTCGACATGTTTTTCATAATTTGATAATTATATACGATATATAATCGTACATGTACTAGTTTTCAAAATTGATTCTAAAATAATCATGCCACAGTAATGTATTTAAGTAAAACTGATAACAAATAAAAGATGAATGAACCTTTTTCTCAAAATAATATATTATTCAATATATTGCACTCATTTGTATTCTTTGTGTTCAATATACTTAAAAAGAAATTGTCAATATTGATATCTCTCTTTATCGAAATTTGGAGAACCGAAGCAGATTAAAAATACAATTGAAGTGAAAATTATAAATTTATTTCTCGATACGTATATCTGCAACGTTAACAGTGACATTTGTTAAGCTGTATCAAATCTAAAATACAAAGTTTGGAATATTTTGATATATTTTATTTTAGGATGAGTATTAAAATCATGCATTGTATCAAATTAAAAGGAATTTAATTTAATGCTTGTTTGGTTCTGCATTTTTAGTAAAAAAAAAATGGTTCTTTTAAAAGGACTTGAATATCATTTTATTTATCCCTTTGTTTGTATCTCTTTCTTCTAACTATCTGTCTCTTTGAACATCCGGGGCTTAAAGAAGTTCCCTTGAATAGATAGAAAACACAGTAAAACTTCAATAATAACCATTTATATAGCACAAAGGTATATATATAAACATTTTGACAAGTGATATCTCATTGTTCAGGAAAGGTGGATGTGTGTTTCTCTTAGATATTACAAGCGATTTCTAAATTTTATATCATTAAGGGTTGCAACTGCAATGCGACCTCCATATTAATGATACACAAATGTGTATCATTAGGCGTCGAATATGTCGATATTTGCTTGTTTCATTAAGCGTCGATGTTGCAATGCATTTGTGACGCTTAATGATATAATTCTATCGTTAAGCGGCGATTTAGCATTAGCGGTTGATGATGTCAGCTATTAATGCAATAATTTATGGCATTAAGCGTTGCAATTGCAACGCTTATTGCTATTTCTATCATTAAGCGGCGTTTTATCATTAGAGGTTGCTACAATGCTTCCACGTAAGTTTCAGCTTAATTGGCCCAGTAGTTCTTGAGAAGAAGATTTTCAAAGATTTCTCCTATATATTTCTGTGTAAAACTTTGATTCCCCATTGTGGCCCCGCCCTACACCCGGGGGTCATGACTGGAACAATTTAGAATCTACACTTCCCCAGGATGCTTCCACATAAGTTTCAGCTTAACTGGCCCAGTGGTTCTTGAGAAGAAGATTTTTTAATGACCCCACCCTATTTTTGTCTTTTCTTGATTATCTCCCCTTGTGAAGGGACTTGGCCTTTCATTTTAATTATTTAAATTCCCCTTCACCCAAGAATGCTTTGTACAAAGTTTGGTCAAAATTGGCCCAGTGGTTCTTGAGAAGAAGTCGAAAATGTGAAAAGTTTACAGACGGAAGGACGGACGACGGACAAAATGTGATCAGAAAAGCTAACTTGAGCCTTTGGCTCAGGTGTGCTAAAAATCTTAACTGAACATTATCTGGCAGATCAGCATTTCCTTTTTTTAACCCACAGGGAGAAAACAATATATACTTTGTCTCTTAATATCCTACCATTTCCAATGTAAATTACAAAAAGAACATTTATAATTGTTTTGGGAATCTCAACTGTTTAAACTGACATGCTTTTAAGTTTGTTATGAATGGCTTACTGCATAAACTGAAGTAATCCATAAGCTTCAATTAAACTGTGAACCATACTCGCCTGAAAAGAAAAAAAAACATACAGATAATAAGTCAGACAGATGTACTCATGTTTATCATTTTTAAAGCTTTCAACAGGACTTAATAAATCAACAAATGAAAACACATATTTTACCCTTTTGATAATTTTAGGCATTGCATCACAGTGTTGAATCAATTCCTGACTGTAAATATACACAGGTTTACCACAGTCTCTCTCTAACTTCTCATCCTTCATCTCAGAATTTACTTTCACACCAAGTTCATCAATACAAGAATGTGGGTTATTTCCTCCTGATAAATTTTCAGAGTTCACAAAACCAGCTGGGTTCCTGTCATGTAGACTTTTGTCCAATGTTTCTTTGTCATCTGTCTCGGTATTTTGGTTCCCATGGTAAACAGTGACATCACTGGCTTTATCAAAGATTCTCCGAGCTCGTTTTGTGAGAGGCTTCAAGGGAGAGAACTCCTCCTGACTGCTCAAGTCAAATACATCCATCTTTTATTTCATCTACAAAGTTACATGTGTACAAATTCACTGAACATATCATATAAGAATCATGAAGGTTATAAAGATTATCCTAGTATTTAAAATTCTATACTTTGCATATGGCAACATATGATACTTTGCTGGTAAGATATTATGCTACAGAGAAATCATATAATGAACAAAATAATATATATTAAACGGTACAACCCTTATGCGACGTTAATCAAACTTAATGAGGATAGCGCCATCAAGAGAACATTGCATTTTATTTTCTAATAGATAGTTTTCGATAGGCCTAAATTTAGTGAGAGTTACTTCCCGTTGGTCGCCATATTGGAGGTCGACTCAGTGATTTTCCCTCTTTGTCTTATCAAGTATAAGAGGATGGCAGCAGAAATATAATTTGGTGGAAAATCTTCACTAATTTTTTTTTTTTTTTTTCAATTTTAAGAGAAGGCTTCCAAAAATTTATATATTTCAGAAAAATAATGTTTACTCATTCAAAGTGGCAAATATAAAAATCTTAAATTGGTTAAACAATGAAGGAATAGACCAATCCACACTTTACAAAAGTTGTTTCCCTTTGTGGGGTCAACCAAAAGGTCAAAAGGGAAAGAAACAACCTTTCTCCTCTTTATGCTACCAAACATTTGGGCGGGCTATGATGAATCCACTGTGTTTAAATTGTTTTCTTTGGATGTGTGGCTAGCCCCAACATGGGGCAATCAGTATACAAAATTCAACGATTTTTTCCCAGTAAAATGACAAAGTTACAAACCTGAAAACTACAAAGGGTACTGTGAGGATTCTATGGGTTCATCCCCTAAGATGCCTGATGGCGGCCAAGGGAGTCTGGGACATAACTTTTAAAAAGTGTGGATTCATCTATATGAGCATTTGGACCTCCAGTATAGCAGCCAATTAGAAATAACTCTTACATTCCAATCTATTATAAATCTGTAATGTAAACAAATTGTAAGTCAGTGTCATAAAATCACAATCTAAAAAGACCGGGAGAGTCATTTAAAACAAAATCCCTTCTCTGATTGAAATGTCACAATACAGATTATCTATTCTATGAGCTTAGGGTGAGTTCACCATGCATCGGACACATACCTTGCTTCGGACAACTTTAGGCAATAAACTCTCTTTCAACTTAAGAGTTCTGTATATTTATTTGTTTCTGTCATAAAGATGAAGATTTAAATTTTTTTATGATACCGATTGTGTTTATCATGTTGTGATAAAAATACCCCGCAAATGGCCTTGAAGTTACATCATATTTTACATCATCAAAGGGGAATAACCCGAAATTTATGATTTTGCAATTTTTAGAGTTTTCGTTCTTTTAAATTCGACTTCCATGGAACGAGTCGGACTTTGGTGAATTTTGTCAGGGATTGGTAATTTTACATAAATTATAAAGAAATTTCACTTCAATGTTTGTTTAATTCTTATTAGAGCTGGTTTTTACTAATATGCCAATTTCACCGTACATCGGACACAAATTAACCATGTATCGGGCACTTATCGATGCAAAGGTAAGCACTACCATTTTCATACAGAACCCAGCTGACAGCTGTTTTTTTGCGGAAAAAGAAAATAAAAACTCTATATTTTCAGTCAAAATACAGGTTATCGGTATATGACATCTGGAATTTTACTCAATTTATTTCTAAAAACCAGAGTATGATAAACCATGAGAAAAAGGCATGAATTACGGAATTATAAGCATTTTAAAGCAATTCTAAGGCAGAGTGAGGTCTCTAGAATCGTTCTACATTTGTGCAATAATAGATAGTTTTCGATAGGCCTGAATTTAGCGAAAGTTACCTCCCGTTGGCCGCCATATTGGAGGTCGACTCAGTGATTTTCCCTCTTTGTCTTACCAAGTTTAAGAAAATATAGCAGAAATATTTGGTGGAAAATCTTTATCAAATAATTTTTTCTAAATAAAGGAGGCTTCCAAAAATTTATATACTTCAGAAAAATAATGATTTCTAATTCAGAATAGCAAATATGAAAATTTTTAATTGGTTGAACAATGAAGGAATATGAGCATTTGGACCTCCAGTATGGCGGCCAACGGGAAGTAACTCTTGGTCAATCGAAAACTATCTATATCGTCGATTAAATTAAAGTTGATGGTTATTTCTTAGATAAAAGATGAAAATATATCCATATCAAGGATTTTAAAGCACTGTGATAAAGGTATGATATTTTTCCGGTCTCCATACCATCTGTCCGATGCATGGTGAACAATGTCCGATCCATGGTGAATTCTCAGTTTTTTCTAAAAACTCGATTTTTTGGGATATTTTCTCCATAAATGGTATATAATTGTGTCCTAAATTGATATTTTAATCACAAACTAAATGTTAAACTCCATTTTGATAATTTTCCGTCGGTAGCGATATCGCTAGAACTTGTTGAAGTACAAGGGTATCCGATCAGGTCTGGTACAATCACTAGATTTAGCTACGTAGCTTGATTTACCTACATAGCTTTATTTACCTACCTGAGGTAGCTTTATTTAGCTACCAAATTGATCTATTTCTATTAAAAAGCATTTTTCTCAGGGTGTGCAGACAATATGATTTTGATGCAGTGATCATTTTCAACTTTGAACTCATCTGAAAACAATTAACTCATGAAAAAATCCCTCTTGGAAAAATGTCTTTTTCTGTGCAATTGCAATGAAAGTTCTGAAAGTTTTGGGGCTATGTATGACAGTTAGAACAGTTACTCATTGAATGAAATAACAAAGAAGTCCAGTTCCGGTTAACACGATAATAGGTCGGTAATTATTCAGTACAATGTGAAGTAATCATACTCAGTCATGCCTCACCGCACCTCACCGTATGGTCAGATAACCAAACAATGGAATTACATGTTTTGCTCTAAATTGTCCAAATGCAGCAATGTATAGATTATCTCTACTTTGAATTGTTTTTTAAAGCCTCCATATTATAAATATCAAGTCATTTAATTGAGACTTTTTGTCTCTTTTTAATAAAAAGAAAACTTTTGAAAATTTACCTTGAAATAGCTATTTAAAGATACCTGAGGTAGGTAAATAAAGCTACGTAGGTAATTCTACCTATGTAGCTAAATCTAGTGATTGTACTGGACCTGTCCGATGCATGGTGAATTCACCCTACTTTTATTTTCTTTTATTTTTCTTTCCTTTTAATTTTACATTGCATCGTAAAATCGAGATAGATTTTGTGTTGTGATTTTACCAATCATAATATACATAAAAAAAAACTTTTACTGCTGGCAGTAGGTTGACAATAACATCTCATCGCTTGACATATTTGAGGAAATTCGAAAATGATAGGCCTATAAACTCTTTTTTTCTGTCCAGCTCTGCCTGGCTTATCAACGTATTTCGAAATAACATAGGCAAATTCTAAGTTATTATCTTGAATATGCGATGACCTACAATAAGTACCATTTAAGTTAACATAGTCATGGAAACTTCTCAGCCATGAAATATCTTCAGACTTGATGTTTCCCGCAAAATATATTCTGCTTCTGCAATAATCATAGTCAGTCGTTAGTCTCGTTCAACCAGACGCTCGGCTGTCTCCGTAAACTCCGACCAGCAGAGAGTCTGGTAAAGAAACACGTAAGCGTTTGTAACCGTCAGAGGGCGCTATCTTGTTTTTAATTTGAAGATCCTTTTTGAAAACAAATGTTAAACGTGTTTCTACTTCTGGATTGTGACTTTATATTGATAAACTAATCTTTAATTTGGGACTCCAAACGAAAGATAACAATATCAATCGAAGGAATGTGTATTACGCAGGTCGGGCCACGGGCACTGGAAGTTAATGTAAATATATAGTATGTGTATGTATACATACACATACTATATATTTACATTAACTTCCAGTGCCCGTGGGTCGGGCTACACTACTTTCACTTTTGCATTCGTACAGAATATTTGCATGACATAATGAAACACACTACCTATAACTGGTGGGCATTACCGTTTATAGTTCCTATCTAGCATCTTTAACTTTTAGACACATAATTTTCACATCTTTATGTTATTTTTCTGCTGATTTATCATGTATTTATTTAAATCGCGTAGGTGTGTTCTTTTCAGCCAATCAAAAACTTTACCAGAATTTTGGTAAACCTCGTTTTGGCGTTACAAACGATAATGCGTATCTTTACCAGACCCTCTGGGTGGTCGGAGATTTACGGAGACAGCCGAGGGTCTGGTTGAACGAGACTAAGTCAGTCGTACGCTTTAATTTATAGGCACGCCTGTTAGCCGAAAAGTGAAATCTGGATAGTCATTGAGTTAACTGTGCTATAATACGCAAAAAAAAAAAATCATAAGAGTTCATTTATTTTTATGTTATTGTACGGAGGGATTAACAAGATTTTTCACCACTCACCATTCAAGCATGAAAAAAAGTCATGCCATTTTGATCATAAAATAATATATATACTATATTTTTTTACGAACAAAGAGGAATAACTGTCTCAAAGGAATAGTGAAATCGGTTGAAATATAAAAATTATAATTTTTGTCTTTTTTTTTTTTTTTTTTTTTTTTTTTATAACATTCAATATATTCATGATTTCCCCCGCAATTTATGACTGTAAAGTTTTATGTACAAATCTTGTTCTGGGGATTTTGAGATTTAAAATTCTACATTATTATTTCATTTATTTCTTAAACGCGGCAAAATTGACTTAACATATGAATGTTTTAAAACACATTCCATTTTCCAGTTTAATATGTGGGAAAATATTAACTACTTGTTATGTAGTACATGTATGTATATAATAATACATGTGTGTGTGTGTGTGGGGGGGGGGGGGGGGGCTGGAATTTTTAACAACAACTACCTGATGATGCCTCCATATGTACAACAAATGCCTTTGCTTTTTGAGCAGATATTTTTTTCCTATTTATTCATATGACCCCAGCTCCAGCGCCTATTGTGGTCCAGCCCAGAGACATATAAGATCTCTTATATGTCTCTGTCCAGCCTTACCCCCTGGAAGTCCTCAATTGAACCAGTATGACCCCGGGGTCATGATTTGTACAAAATTGAATCTAATTAAAGCCATATATGGCGTAACTGATCAAAAAAATATATTTTTGAAAAATACAAAATTAAGTAAAGAAATATAGTTAATACATTTAAACATTTAAATTAAAACTTTTCATACAATTCTGAACACGGAGAACACCTCGTTTCAACTAATAATACGATTTTATATTCTCTTTAATGTGTTATTTAAATCTTTTTTACAAAACACAGTGTCAAAAGTGTTGTTTTATGAAATCATTTGTTTTATCCGTATAATTCAATCAGAACGAAACAATATTTTTAGGGGGGGGGGGGGGGGGGGTTGAAGTACAGCCATGATGTATTTATAAGAACTTAGTTGAACAGCCATGTATGCATTTGTAAATGATTTTTAACTTTAATGAAAAGAATCATTATTTAATTGATTAAAAAATTTATTTGCACATGAGCTCAAATTAAAGTTAATAATTAACGAACCAAACTGAATTTTCAATGTACATAGATAATATACAACAGAGGGTCTCTTCGAATCTCCCAATAAATCATAATTAAAACTTGTTTTTCCGTATAACCATTGAATATTTAAAGATATTTATAGCCAAATTCTATATTTAGTTAAAATGGGGAAAAAATCAATTCAACGACAATTTCCCCTTTCAACATACATAACACCATATTAATTTTTACTGCACTTTGTTCTACAGATAAATTTAAAAAAGTGAATGACCTAGCTTGGAATATATCTATAGTACCAGACTGATTTTTTTAAACGTGAGTCTTTGGTCAGCTGTGGTAAATATTTAATTAAGTTAGCAAAAGCTAATTAATCTCCCCTCTTTCAGTCATGCAACGGGATGAATTTAGAAAATGCCAAAGCGAAAACTTGTTTTTGATCCGCCCACTTGTTTTGAGGTAAATGTCATTTCGTGA